GCATGTGTGTGTGTGTGTGTGTGCATGCTGCCAGCCAAGACCATTTAGGACCTGGCTGGACCTGCCCCTCAGCCTCACCTCCCACCACTCCTTGCCTCAGACTTTATGCTCAAGCCATCTTGAAAGGACCAGCTACCCTGCATACAGCACACCCCAATTTCATGTTTCTGTGCCTTTTCACTTTCTTCCCTCATCCTTGCCAATAACTGCAAACAGTCTGAGATTTCCCCCTGCTTGCCAGCTAAGTGAACCTGCCGGTTTCCTGCGTCAGAGACAAAGGACTTTATTACTCATAGCACAGCCAGCTGCAACAGCTTTGTCAGTTCCCCTTTCGGGCTGTTACGGATTGAATTCTGTCCCCTCCAAAAAAATTTGTGGAAGGCCGTGAATGTGACCCTGTTTGGAAATAGGGTTTTCTTTTGTTATGCTAATGAGGCCATATCAGAGTAGGGTGAGTTCTAATCCTAAACCTTTTGAGTGGTGTCTTATAAAGGGGAGAACAGACATGGAGAAAAAGTCACACATAGAGGCGCCATATGGTCTAGAGGGCCCAGGAGAACTCAAGTCTAGGGGAGGCTGAGCCGTGGGGGGTTTTCAGCTTCATGGGACCAGTGCGATGAAAGCAGGGGACACAGGATGTCATGGGGTCTGGGGTTGTGGAGGGCTTGAGACCCAGCTGAGGGAGAGCAAAGAGGAGGACGCCTGGAGACGGGACGCCTGCACTAGGTCTTAAAGGATGAGGAGCTGGTGGCACAGAAGGGGTCAAAGAACCCCAGTAGGGCTGTGGGAGACAGCTCTCCATGGGTCTCCAGGGTGTCTGCAAGACGAGAAGAGGCCATCAACAGCTTTTGTGCCTGAGTGATCAGGGAAACGGGGAAGACAGCATGAGCGGATCCGTCTACAAGCCAAGGAACACCAAGAAATGCCCAGGGCTACAGAAGCAGATGCGCCTGCCCAAGCCATGGTGTTTTCAATCACCTCGTGTGCAGGCGACAGCTGGACAATGAATAAGGAAGACCAAAGAAGAATTGATGCCTTTGAATTACAGTGTTGGCGAAGAATATTGAGTATACCATGGACTGCCGGAAGAACAAACAAATCTATCTTGGAAGAAGTACAGTCAGAATGCTCCTTAGAAGCAAGGATGGTGAGACATCATCTCACGTACTTTGGACACGTTATCAGGAAGGAGCAGTCCCTGGAGAAGGACATCGTGCTTGGTAAGGTAGAGGGTCAGTGAAAAAGAGGAAGACCCTCTATTAGATAGATTGACACAGTGGCTGCAACAACGGGCCCAAACAGCAACGATTGTGAGGATGGCGCAGGACTGGGTAGTGTCTCCTTCCTGTCATACAGAGGGTCGCTATGAGTCGGAACCGATTCAACGGCACCTAACAACTCCAACAACA